ACTGCAACAGCAGTACCCAAAGCCCTTCCACTTCCTGATGCTGTTCAAGGCCACTTTAGTTCCTGTTTCTTTCTTAGTCCTTGTCACAGTCTCTTATTGCTTTGTTTGCTTGCTTTTTATTATCTTCCAAGCTTCCCCACCTCACTGTCAGCCTTGCAAGTGCTGTATCAGCCCCAGCTCTTAGAAGGTTTCCTGCATGTGACAGGTCCCAGTGGATACTATAGACAGGAGGAAAAGAAGAACGAAGCCGGCAAAGAGAGGCCAAGCAGGGAAGGAAGGAGAGACTGGGAGACATCCCTGTCTTTCCTCCCCTACTGTAGACTTCTGGTTTTGCTCATCCTGTGGACCAGACCTTTCAGGAAGGCATGCTTGAGCATTGAGTTGGAACCTGAGCTCCTACCCCAGCTTTGCTTCATATGGGCTATTTAACCTGTGAGTGTGGCTCGGAGGGGAGAAACTGCTTAGCATGCACAAGGCCCTGGGCTCAATCCCAAAACTGCAAATAACAGCAAAAACAACCTTTCTACAGTTCAGCTTCCTTCCTAGTAGAAGATAAGTTTCATACACCTACTTCATAGCATCACTGAGAGGACTAGATGAAATAACATCTACAAAGCCACTGCCATCATTTCTGGTACACGATAGGTACTCAGTAAGGGTTTGCCCACATTCCCCTGCAGTAATTTCATGTCAAGAAGGTGTCAATGTTTCAAGCCTAATCCTGCAGAATAAGCTCAGCCCCTAGCATGCCTTCAATCACATGGGCGAGGTGCCCTAGCCATGATGAGGGTCTTGCAGAGAACACATTGGGAGCTTTCAGGTCTGGGCTAAAGAGTCACTTGGGAAGGGAAGCATTTTGATGTCCTTTGTCCAGTAAGCAAACCCAAAGTGGACATAGGGCAGACTATCGATAGGCTGAGCTTTGACTCCCTTGCTCTGCGAGCTTAGATCAATCATTTAGTTTCCCTGGTCTTTGGTTTCTTCCTCTAAGTACAAGGAACAATAATAATAATGGTTGTCTGTGCAGTATTTGGTGTAGTTGTGGGAGCTAGCGGGGTACCTGCGACAGACACTGACCTGTGAAAAGAGCCTGGGACACAGTAAGTTCCATGAATGCTACTTAGTATTGATCTATCTTTAGGTTGGAAGGAAAACTACCCTGAGACTAAATGAGGTTCAAGAGGCCTTTCTGGAACATTTATTATTTTTCATTCATATTTGCTTTACTGCATCTTGTTTTATTTCATCTTCAAACCACTCTGAAAGGCACAACTCCTCCCAAGTTTTCGTTCATTGTTGGATTCACTCATCGTAGCCAGAGAAACATACATGAGAAAGCCGTCCGTTCCAGAAGTCAGTTGGCAGCGCAGCAGGCAGTGCACGGTGGACTTGCTTAGCTGTTCTCCTCGCCGGCCTTGCCGGCAGGGCCCGCTGCTGGACCACACACCTGCCTTGGGAGACCAGAGTTTCTGTCGGCCTGGCCGCGTGGCTCCTGGTGCGTGCTCCACGTCTTCCCTTCTAGCTGCGCTCTCCCACCCATGTTCTCTGCCTCCTCGTTGAGGAGTGGCTTGCAGTCCATTTGATCTATGTTTCATCCATGTTGTCTTCAATTTCTCTAAGCTTTTACATTCTTTAAAGCTTTTAAATGCTTCAGGGCCCGGAGAAATGGCTCAGTGGAATAAATGCTTTCCTGGCAAGTGCAAGCGCCTGAGTTCAATCCCCGGTTCTGCCAAAAAAAAAAAAAAAAAAAAACCTTTTAAATGCTTCATAAGTTAAGCTATGCTAAAAATATGCAATGTTTTGGTGTGGAAACAAAGGGTCAGAGACACACACTTTTGTTACATAAATTCTCAAGAATAAGATGGAGTTAAAAAGGCATGCATGAAGCATCTGGCCAGTACACACTGAAAATGCAAGTTGAGCTTCAGGAGAGGGAAAATAGCACAGGTACACCTGATGCTTGGGACGGCCATGTGTCAGCCACAGCATCCTCTCTGTCTCTCTCTGTCTCTCTCTGTCTCTCTCTGTCTCTCTCAATCTTTAAGAGAGGAAAAAATAAAAGTGATGCAGAATTTCAAAAGAAATTGATAGGAAATTACCAATGGTGACGATATTGTATATTGGTATCTTTAAAGTAGTTGCTCAGATTGCCAGATACAGGCATGAAAAATGGATCAAGCAATATAAGCACTAACTATTCCTTTCAATGAGCTAGTTAAAATTAGTAGTACAATTATCTTAGCTGTCTTGTGTGTATATGCATAGCTTTTCCCCCTTCCTTCTTTTCTCTTTTTCCTCATTCCAGTTATTCTTTCTTTTTGGGCCATTTCTTTTCCATTCGCAGTGTCCACTGCATCTTTTGGATCTTAGGTACTCTTTCAGTTTCTCACCCTGGGGAGACAATACGGTGTTCACACGTGCGAGTCTGGTTTGTCTTGCTCATGAGTATGGTCTCGAGCTGCATCCACTTACCTGTAAAAGCCTGGAGTTATCTCTCTTTATGGCTGAGCTTCAGCTGTGCAGTTTTCAAGCCACCCTCTATATTTGCTTGGTTGCCAGTTAGGTAAGGAGAGTGAAGTGTGAATTCAGCTGCAACCTGGAGAAAAGCAGCTTCTCTTTGTGCCCTACCTTCCTTTGCTAGAGAGACTACAGAGGCCCAGTGGGCAGCAGGTGGGTAAAGCAGTGGCAGTTCCCTGCAAAAGTGCACCCTCAGGCCACTGACCTTCACTGACCTTCACTGACCGCACTTGTTTAAGAAACCTTTGCAGAGTTTCTACTATGCTTCCAACAGGGCACTTCCCTGGAGAACACTTTCTAGCTGAGGAGAGACAGATAATAAGTGAACATATAAAGCAACAGGTAAACAAACAAGATGACATGTGACAGTGAGGAGAAAGGAAAGAAGCGAGGACAGAAAGGAATGACCACTGATACAGGAGATGCTACCTTGGATCAGATATTCTCAGAGGAGGTGACAATGGAGCCAAGTCCTGGTCACACCATAGTGCTCCGAGTCCTGAGGGTGCCAGCCATTAAAAGGAACCAGCCATAGGAAGGTCCAGGGTGGAGCAGTGTTGAGGAAAAGACAGCTAATGCCCAAGACCAAGGCAGGACCAGCACAGTACCATGATCTGCAGAGCAGGATCAGTGGGAACCCACGAGCAAGGAAAATGGTACAGAGAGTGGTACCCAGCAGTGGGGTGAACCAGGTTCCTTGGGGTCTAAAGGTCATGAGAATGAGGGGCAGCTGAGAGAGGCTTAAGCAAAACAGGAGCCTGAATGGTTGGCATGATCCCTCTCTGCTTTGGTGGGGTACAGACCACAATGGTAGCCAGCAAGTCAACGAGCAGGAGATTCTCTAAGCCAACCAAGAAATTATGGTGGGTTGGGCAAAGGTAACAGCCAAGGAGATGGATACAAGAGGACAGACGGGTCCTGAACCTATCCTGCAGGGAGAGCAAACACGTCATGGGTGTGGACTGGATATGGGGGAGGAAGACAGAAAAGAAATGATGCTGAATGGGGGTTCCCTTGCATGAGTGGTAGTTCTGACATTTATAGAACTGAGGAATGATAAAATGAAAAAAAAAAAACCACAGAAAATCAGCTAGGTGCTAAGAAGGACAAAGAGAATATACATTGCACATTTCTTCAGAGTAAGATTTTCACCCTAAGACATTTGTGCCCGGAAGTGCCACTCGATGTACATCACCCAACTCCCTGCCCCACTGTTCTTGCTCTGTCTAGGGACTTAAGTGTGTAGACGCTCCTCTCTTCTGCAGGCCAGAGGCCACAGGGACACACTGGTCAGGGGTGCTAGAGGAAGGGTGGTGGCAGGCCCTAGCGAGTAGGCCCTGTGTCCTGGCTGCTCTGGTCTCGAAGGCAGTCATGCTCACCCCACAGGAAATTCAATCAGTCTGGTACAATTATATCTTCCTGGCTTAATCTAATCTCTTCATTTTATAAGCAATCTTCTCTCTGATGCTTGGCCCTTTCTTCTCTCTTGTTAATTTGTTCCTAGCAGCCAGATAAACAAAGCTTTTTTCCTGTGGCCACTACGTATGAGAAGATGCAGTTGCAGGTCCCTATAAAGCAGCCCGGAGCCTGCTGTCTTCTCCAAGATATTTTTGGGCTAGAACCTTCTTGGGGAGCCAGGATAAGGAGAAAGAAGACCTCCCAAGCCTGCAAGCCCTAGCAGGACCACACACCTTCCCTGCGAGTTGGCACAGCAGATGTGAGCACTCTATTGTTTGTCCTTGGGTCTGGCTGGATGCCAGCTGCCTGCCTAAATCTAGCTGGGAGTTAAAATGTTCACCAAATGCCAACTCAACCTATCCCTAGTCCTAATCTCTTCGTGAGGGCTCCTCGGCTTTGCTAAACAAGGAAGGAATATAATATCTCAGCTTTCCCTCTGCTGGATCCCCTGTCGGGCGTTCCCACGCTAAATCCCAGCTCAGCATTGTGAAACAGGTATTCTTATTCCCATTCTCATGGAAGACAACACTAAGATTCAGAGAAGTAATTTAGCCCGGAAGTTCTGGGGTTTGCAATGCGATCTATACCACCTTCACCTATTCACAACTGTTGTCCTGCACTGGGCCCTACCTTTGCTTTGCCAATCCCATTTTCTGCCCTTTGCGAGGATGCCATTGGTCTTGTTGCTTATCACAGCTTGGAACTGATGTCCACCAGGTGCCAGCCTCTGTGCTCCTCACAATTCCTAGCTCCTTCTGTCCTGTCTTCCCAGGGAGCCTTGGCAGGGTGGGACACATCAAGGCTCCAATGATGTTAAGAAACACAAGCGCTGAAAAGGGTCACAGTGACTAGAAGTGTGGAGTGGGGACAATGGTTCAGGAAGCAGCAGGAGAGCTGCAGGGTCTCCCGTGTAGGTCTTGTGATAGCAGCTGGAGGACATGTCAAGAAAAGGGGAGAAGGGAGGGAGTAAGGGGCTTGAAATCAGTTCCAGGGTGACTTTTATTTCTTTCATTTTTGTCTTCCAGCCCTAATCGATTACCTTGGGAAACTGGCTCTGTGAAAGGCCCAGGAGGGCTGTGTTGTCACGTACCAGGGAGCAGCAAAGCAGGAATCCAAGCCTGACTCCAACTCGTGTTTCAAGGCAAAGACTGCGGGGAGCCTACACGTGCTCTGCAGGTGACGGGCGTCCTTTCTTTCCATAGGAATTAAGGTTTATGATGTGATGAGGTTGGCCTTGAGCAGCCCTTACCCCCAAACGCCATCACCTGTTTGTGATACTTAATGTGATCTAGATGTGTCATCAGGCAAGCCACTGTAATCCAGGTGAGGATGCCTTCACTCTATAAAGGTAGACTGCTGACACAGAGTGGTGGTGGCTGAGTACAGCCTTGCTTGCTCTTGCTGGTGGCTCATGTCCAGGCTGTATTTCAGGACATCCAGTCCCACCTTTGAGAATGGAGCCATCCTCTGGGACTCCAGCAGCTGGCGTTTGGGTCACTCTCAGGAGTATCTCTAAATTTGGATGGCCTCCCACTTTCACCCAGCTTTCCCAGCTGTCCTCCAGCCAAGCAGCAAGGTCTTCCCTGCAGTCATCTCCTGTTTGGCCCATTGTCTCTTTGGTCTGTGTGGGGTGAGAGGCAGAGAGCGAATGAGATGGGAGAAGTGTGGGGCAAGGGGTGCTATGGATGGTCCTGTTGGCCTCTGGCTTGCCTGGAGGCAGCATGGGCCTGCAGAGAGGTCAGCTTCAAAGGGAACTTGGATATCCATGCTGTTGACTCCAAGAACTCAGGAGTTATGGACAAGGAAAAAAATAGAAATATAAGATGCAGTGAGAAAAAAAGAGGGAAACAGCTGAACCAGGGATAGTAAGGGAGAGGACAAGCATGCACAGGGCTGGTTGTAGCGACTGCGTGAGGGGGAAGCAAAGGCCATGTGACTCCTTCTCCATCGCTGGCCTTGGCATGCTGTGCTGGGGGAGCTGAAGACTGGTCGCCCATCCCTGAGAGGACTAGGAGGAGCTGCAGGAAGCAAGGGCAGAACCCTAACTGCATGATTCATGCTCCCTGGAGGGCTGGCAGGGCAGAAGGGTAGGAGGGGCCACGGCTGCGTCTCACGTGTTGGCCGGCTTCCACCAGGACAGCAGTGAAGGACTAACGGGGCTCTGGGAGAGCAGGCTTCTCAGCCTGAGTGAGGGTGCGCAGAAGAATCCTTTGTGCATTGTAGAGTTCTCAGAATGGAGAAAATAACTGCTCTGGAGGTGCAGCCACCTGGTAGGGATGAGAGGTGTCAAGTTCAGCCAAAGGCCCAACACAGTGTCAAGGAATGGGAGAACGGGCAGGAAAGGGAAGGGCAGCTGTGGGGTCGCTGCCCTGCGACAGCCCCTTTCTATGTGTACTTCTATTGCAGCCTCAGTGGGATTCCTGTAGTGTAATCCTCCGTCTGGAAGTGTACATCCCTGCTCTCTTCTGTATCTCCACAGAGACTGTGACTGTCACTGTGGTCGACATTAGAACACTTTCCCTACTCCCAAAAGACGGGGCATCCATTTACCGTCACTACCCTTCTAGTTCTTCCCCTCTCCCCTACCCTGTGGGCAGCCACCTACCTTTCTCTCCATACTTGATATTTTAAATGTCTCAGGCAAGTTTTCTAGGTTCTCCCGTGCTGCAGCACGTAGCATCAGGCGCTCATTCCTGTTCAGAAGCAGTGCTGTTGTCTTGTACGGGTCTGCCACTTCTCCGTGATTCACGGGTTGTTTCTGCCTTTGGGTGACAATGAGTCCATCAACACTTGTGACGAGATTTTGTGCCAATGTGTGTACATTTAATTCCCTTTACAAAGCCAGGAGGGTCACAAGTTTATGAAAAACCGCAGGTCAGAAAGGTCATGTTTTGAGATTGAATCTCTTGACTTGGTCAGACTATGACAGAAGGGCACATGAAAGGGACAGAAAGCAGATTTCCTTTCACCTTTGCCAGCTCATTATACACACGACTGGGTTGAGAGAACGCAGGGGAAGCACGAGTACACCCGCGTCAGCGCTCGACCTGCTGTGGCCTCCACTTCTCTCTCTGGCGGTGGGTCTGGGGTCACAGGACGGGATGTGCTTGGCTCTTGCATAGCTCTGGGTCCTGCAAAGATATCTCTTTCCTGATTTTTATCCTTGTTGCATGGATAGGAATGAAAATAGACCAGGCACTTTTCAAGTCCAGCTAGAGTAGCCATGGGAGGAGGCGGGGGAAGCCCCTGTAGCAGTGTCCTCTTCTGAGAGAGCTTCCTTGGGTGCCCTCTGCCTGAAGCCAAGGCAGATGCGCCAACTGCCAGGAGGAAGGGCCTCAAAGAAAGGAGTTCCATGGGTGCCCAAGGACGGCTCTGTGGCATTACGGCATGGAAAAAGCGGGTCACCGAGGCTACTGGCTCTGCTTCCTTCTGGCCCCAGGGCTTTCCCAGAAAGCACTTGGACATGGGAGGGTGGGTGACATGCCACTCCATTAATGTAACTCTGATGGCTTGGCACAGCTCAAGCCCAAACTGGTAATCATTGACCCTGCAAGGCTCCCTGAGGCATTGCAGTGGAATCTGCAGGAAGGCTGAGTCTCCAGCAAGCCTACCAGTCTGCTGTTTCTCCAGAAGCCCTTTCTGGGAAGCACAGCACTAGCGCACCCTTGGTCCTTGCTGTACAGAGTTCCAGCGCTGAAGGCAGCACAGACTGTGATGGGAATGGACCTTTCTATTCAAGCAAGGGAAGCAGAGCCAGAGGTGTGCTACCAGTGGTGTGAACAGCTGGATCCCTTCCTGTTTCCCAGTGCTGTTGAGATGCTTTCTGCTGTAAAAAACACATGCAAGTCTATTTTTCAGAGAAGAAGACAGATACAGTAGTGGGTTATGAAGCACCTAGTGCTAGTGGGTGACTAACTAGTTAGTGGCTGACTCTAGATTTAAACCCCACACACCTTCTTCTAACATCCGGCCCAGCTGCTTACTTGATGGGTTGGGGGCAGGTAAGCTTCACAGGTCAGCTAGCCTGTGGGACGAGCAGGCACCAGAGTCCCCCTTGAAATCCAAGAAATGGCGCTCCCTGCATGTAGTCCTGCAGGTCTCAGGCTGTGTCATGCCAGCACTCCTTGCCTATGTCTGCAGTGACATGGACACTACTTTCCAATATGTGTGCTCAAAGCATCCGCTGATTTTCCCCTTCTTTATAAGCTGTCAAGATCAGAAATTCTGTTTTCCTTAGCAAAGTGTGCTTTGCTTGTTGCAGGCTATGTACATGCAGGCCTTCTGTCCACATGGAATTTATTCATTTCTGGGTTGGAAAGACTGAGTTGATGTAACACCAACCAAACCACATAGAACCAGAAGGGTCAGACTAATGACAGGATCCCTGCACACATAATGCATACAACTTTCTATAAACATTAAAATTCTTTCATTAAACCGCAGTGCCATTTGAGGTGGGTGGCTCCATATGTGAAATTTAAGAATAGTGTCATTATGGATGTGCCCAGTTGCCAGAGCAACAGCCTCCACCCAAACACAGCACTCTTACAAAATGAACAAGTAGGAGGAGGATTGTTTGATTTGCAAAAGTCATTCTTCACTTTGTAAAATAACCCACTATAGGATTTCTTTAAATATCTTAATAGCCCACTGTGTTATGGAATATGACTTACTACTCATAATTTCTATTCACAAACCATCCTTAGAGTACAAATAATGATTTCAGTATAAGGTTATAAATCCAGACATGTACAATGATATTTTCGTGTACAGTGCCCCCTCAGCCCAGAGGTTACCTTCCAAACACCCCTGCAATAAGCAAAAATTAGTGAAGTAGTGGTTATATTTATTTTAGTATCTATCTAGCATCTATCTATATCTATCTATCTATCTATCTATCTATCTATCTATCTATCTATCTATTGGCTTTATAAACCCTTCCCACACTCTTATAAACCTTTCTCACACTTTTAAAAATACTTCTAAAATAACTAACTAAATAAATAAATAAATAAAAATACTTCTAATGTTCTTAACCATTTTCTAAACTCATAAACCTATGTAATTTTTTTTACAAAATTATTTACTTGGTACAGGGTCTCACTACACATCTTGGACTCACAGTGATCCTCCTGGCTCAGCCTCCCCAGCTCTGGGATTACAGGCATGTGCCACTAAGCCTGGACTCAGTCACAGACTCAGTGCTCCCTGGAGCAGGGACAGCACAGTATGTGGTGCTGGGGATCGAACCCTGGTCCCAGCAATTGCCTAAGCGGGTGCTTTGTCCACTGAGCGATCTTCGCAGCCAAACCTACATAATTTTAACAACATACGTATACTGTATGGTACTACAAAATCCAGCGATATAGTGACAAATGCAGAATAAATAATTTAGATTAATATTTTTTGAAAACCCACGAAACAGTGAGTCCATAAAAGTTGAACCATGAAATAGCGAGGGACTGCTGTAATGTATTTTAAATACAATGGTATTTAAAAGTCAAATCCAATTTCCTCACAGGGTCAGTATGGAACCTCACCTATTGAGTTTGATTTGGTTCATAGCCAACTGGATTTGGGACTAGAATCGGGGTAAAAATTGAGCTTATGAACTGAGTTACCATTGTAATAATGAGCATAGAAAGACCACGAGGCTAGACACGCCTCTGGATTGCTGTGTTAATGTAATAGTTGATCCTAAATTCACTGGAAGTTAGAATTTACCACTTAGGCCTTCAACAAGGTGTGAGCTGAGAGAAAGGTGGAGCTCTGAAACTCCTTTTAAAGTCAGGTTTCTGGAGGCAGAGCCGACCCTTCTTGCCCTTCCTATTTTGGGTAAAAGTTCAATCAGGGTGGACCAGGAACAGAGAGCATGCCTGTTGAACCTTTACCCTGGCTCTCAGGAGTCTGCCCTTTCCCTCCAGATGGTAAGCATGTCTGTTCTGTTTTACTAGGTTCCTTTCCTGCTGGGCCTTCCTCCAGACCTCGGATCCTGACACACAGCCGGGCCAATTCCAGGACCACTGGCTGGAGTCCCAGCCCAGGGCTCTTGTTGGCTGCACCAAGGTTCACTGACACAGGAAGCTTTAAGAATCACCTCCTGTGCCTCCCTAGAGGCAAGCGACTCCATTTCCATATTGGCTTCCAAACAAACAAGCCGCTGGACCCTTCAGGCTGCAAGAGAGTCGGATGGGCGTTTGCTGGGGAGGAGCCGCTCAGGCAAAGCTCTGAGAGCCCATCTGTCCTGTTCAGGTTCCCAGACACCAAGTGCCACCTGAGGGAGTGGCGTCAAGCCGGTATTGTCCCCTTTGCAAAATCAGTACTCTGAGTCCCGGACATCTTTATAGATCTATTTATTTGCTTGACAAATCGTATTGAACCTCTGGTCTCTGCTTGGGGCTGGGTTACGTGGCCAGAGGAGGAGACAACTGGGGTCAACTGGGGTCCTGCGGATCAGCATGAACGTAATTGCACAAGATTACTCTTCATGCTACAGATGAAAACGTTTTGCTTGGGTCTGGTAAAGAGACAGTCTGTTTTAAAGGTGAAAAGGAGTGGCCAGGAAGCTCCTCTTCCTTTGAGAAGGTGACATTTGAGTTTCTTTCTCAGCAGTGACATTTGAATTGAGGTTAAGTTCTTGGGGCCGGGGAGATGGTTCAGTGGAATAAGCGCTTCCCTGGCAAGCGCAAGGGCCTGAGTTCAATCCCCAGTTCTGCAATAAATAAATAAATAAATAAATTGAGGTTAAGAAGTGAAGTAGGGGGAGGATGGGGGACAGCAGAGCTCCAGGTGTCCCTGCAGAAGAAGTAGCAGAATGGCAGGCTCAGAGAGGTTAAGTGCTGTGCCCAGTGCGTGCAGCTGGAATGAGGCAGGGCTGGCCGCCGGTGCATGCCTTGTCTTTGCGTCTCCGTCTGCCACCTAGGAATGGCCGTGGGACTGACCCCATGCCAGGGCTCAGCTCCCCACCACTGGCGGGTTCTCCTTACCCTGCTGGGTGGCTTGGAGGTGTCCTCATCTTGCCACAGTAGCTATCGTCATCCACTTCTGGGACATTGTGAGCAAGTGTTGGTAAATGTTTGCTTTCTCTTCACACTGTTTGCCAACTATTTTGAGTACACCCTAGAGCTTAAAAGCAAAGGCTTCTCACTCAGGCGGATCTAGAGTCTGCTAGCTTGGCTCTTGTAGCTTCCGTGCTATGGTCTTGGACACGTTGTTTTAACTCCTCGGCTTCCAAAGCCCTAGAATTATTATGAAACCCAAATACAACAACAATGCACGGCCGAGATGTTGCCTCTGGGTCTCAGCAGCACCGCATGGCGAACTTTGCTGTGTCAGGGCCGCACAGAAGCACCGTTTGCATTGTGCTCCAGGGGGCGCTGTTAGCACAGAATGCAGCGGTGTCTCCAGCCAGGAGAGAGTGAGGCTTTTTTTAAATATTAATTTCATTGAGAAACAAATAGTAATGAGACGTTTCAAAACAGGACAGTAGGGCAGTTACAATAATTAATACATTGCATATTGTTGTCTTAGTAGTAGTTATTCATAGTACAAGATGCAGACTTGATATCCTGTCCAAACACTATTAGTACAAATCTTACTTCTCATTGAATTAAAAGAATATAGCTGTATATCTATCCTAACTATTTTGTATATACAGATACAAAATGGTCCTTCATTTATGTCCTCCTTTTTCATTCAGTTTTGTCAAAGATGGGTATTCCATTGCCATTTAAATATTGTAGGTGCGTGAATTTAGCAAAATAATCCAATATAGGCCAGTAGTTATAGTGGGTTATCCGTAGGACTGTGCAGACCTCAAAAGTCATCTGTGAAATTGCTGGCTCCAGACCTTGTCCCCTGCTCTAGCTGTGCTTTCTACCACCCTCTTTGGTTTTTTTTTCCCCCCATAATTTTATTGAGAAACAAATAGCAATGAGATAGTTTCAAATCAAATTAGTAGGACAGTTTCAATAATTAACATATTGCATACTGCCTTCCTAGTGGTTATTTGTTGTACAAGATGCAGACATGTTAGTCTATTTATAAACACTATTAGAACAAATCCCTCTATTCACTGAATTAAGATAATGTAGCTGTATATCTATCCTAAACATTTTGAATACACAGAGACAAAATGGTCATTCATCTGTATACCCTTTTTTAAATTTAGTTGTGTCATTTAAATATTATAGATGCGTGAACTCAGCAAAATATTCCGAAATAGACCAGTAGTCCATAATAGTAGTAGATCTTCTGCATGACCAGCAATGTCAGAAGTTGTTGACCTGAGTCCCCTACAGCTCAACATAACAACATGGCTTTACTTCTTATACTTTGTTTTCATACTTTTCTGCTGGATGGTTAAGACCAAGATAAAGCAAGACCTATGTAACAGGAGCAGCCTAGGTTGTATGGTAATAACAATAAACTTATCTTCTGGAGGGTTAACAACCTAAGTTTGTAGACCAAAATTAGAGAAAAAGGAGGGCCACAAGGAATGCCAACATTTTGGCCCTAGCCTTCTAAGGTCAATTAAGACTCAGGACATATGAGAACTTGTACTGTAACCTCATGTAACTCAATAGTGTCCCAAATTTTCTGATCAAGGAGATTATGGGGCCAAAGAGGAAAGTGATCAATGATGTAGAGTGAACCTAAGGAGAGTCACATGGAGAGAAAACATTCTCTCAGGCTTTCACAGAGAGCACATTGGCCAAGCAATGGTCGTGACTCATCCACATGGCTGACACTGACAAAGGATCTACAATCTGAGGTACAGGATCTCAGGATAAATCCTGAGGGGATCTGACTGACCTTATCAGAGAGTGAGGCTTTCTCTGCTATTCCCTGCTCTCCTAGACGCTCCTCAGCCCTAGTCTTCTCTTTGGCTCCTTCTGGGCTGCGCACCTCCACTTTTACTTCAGTGTACACTGTCCGCTCTGGGGCTTCTTCACTCACGTGGTGACGATATTTCCCTTCGTAAAGTGCTGATGCCTGTGAAGAGAGGAATTCTTACAGAACCTCTGGAGGATCCAAGTAGCTCTAATTGCATGGTTATAGGTTCCTGTTGGTCCTTAAAACACTCTTGGGGCCAGGTAGATGGCTCAATAGAATTAATGCTTGCCTGGCAAGGGCAAGGGCCTGAGTTCAATCCCCAGTTGCACCCAAAAAAAAAAAAAAAAGACACTCTTGATCCCCTGTGACTATCCTCATGGTTGCCAGGGATGCTCCACTCTCTCTCTCTTGAAAACTCTGAACAAGGCAGAGACAAAAGTGCCGCTTTGGTCCTTTGCATGGCTGTGACCTCCTAGCATTCCCCAAAGACCTTAAGAAATAGTTATGGAAAACAATGGAAAGTGACATTGGAAGTGCTCATAGGATAAGTGTCTGGCTTCCAGAGCACTGGTTCCAAAGCCCACAGCAAGTGGTGGTGGGTGTCAAGGGTGCATTAGACAGACACCTCTGCCCTGCCCAGCTTCACTTCCCACTGGCGTTGCTCGCGGGGCATCGCAGCTCTCACTCCTCCCTGTGGACTCTGAGAAGAGACAGTGGTCTTTGTGGTGAGAGTAGTTCGTGCCTCAGAAGGACCAGAGATCTCGGTCAACAAGTCAGCTGGATAGAATATACAACCTGGACTTAAAAATTTTAACTCCTTTGAATGGCTTTTGGCATTTTCATTTGGCTATTTCCTCGATTATTCATGCACATGTGGTTTCTATAAGCAAACAGTGAAATTGGTTCTCACCCACTGGCTTTTTTTAATTTTAATTTAATTTTTTTTTGATACAGGGTCTTGCTACTCAATTCAGACTTATAGTGATCCTCCTGTCTCAGCCTCCCCAGTGCTTGGATTACAGGCATGCTTCACCACACCTGCTTTCAGGGCTGGCATGGTGCACCTGGGGTTCCGAGGATCAAACTTGGGACCTTGCACTTGCCAGGCAGGCACTTAGACTGCAGAGCTACCTCCCAAGCCCTCACCCAATTGGCTTTTAAAACCATTTTTATTACCTTTTAGTTATATCTGTCATGTCATGTGAGCTATGGCCTTTTATGGTGTCAGGGACCTTCACCCAAAAAGCATTAAGAGTACCCCATATTTGAGGCACTTGGGCTTTTTATAGCCAGCCCTTGAGCTCCATATACCATGAGCTTCTAGGGTGAGAGCCTCACTAGAAGGGGTCAAGAGGGCTTGAGTTGGATTTGAACTTGTTTTAGGTTCTGAAGGCTTATGGAAAAAATGCTTTGCTTTGGAAGGAAGTATGGGTATGCCAATATGTTAATTAACTTATTACATTAACAAATCTTATTACCCAGAAGGAGCGAGCTCTGGCACGAGGCTAAAGCTATTATTGGTATAGCAACAGCAATCCCTCGTAGGAACCAGAGTAGGAGGCCATTTGGCTGTTTCGTGGTTTGCACAATGGTCATGTCATTGTGTTCAAACAAGATTACAGAGAGGTCTTGTTTTTCAACTAATCTCCAGTGTTCACAGTGGTTTTGCCTGAAGTTGATGTGGTAGGAGATCATTCATCTTTAGTACGAGAGTAACAGAATCTAACTGTGAGTGTCAGGCCAGCTCTTGAAGCCGGGTCTTGCCTTCTCTTCTTTTCTGGGCATAGGTGTGTGGTCAGTGACTCCAACCAAGAAAAGAGCAGGCTCACACTTGGGTGCCACACCTAGGTCTGGCCTTGCCCAGGACGGCTTTCTCCCTCTATCCTGTTCCCACCTCTCCTAGACAAGGCTGCGCTCTCACAATAGACGAATCCTTTATTAAATTACACTGTTGTCAGTCTCATGGTGGGAGGTGGGCTCTGCATAGATGAGGCTGCGGTCAGAACTTTTGTGCCTCTCTTGAAAGCCCTTTTCACTTTGGCTATAGTCTCCATATAGCCCATGTGACCCCACCTGACAGATAAGATGGTTGTAGTCAATGACCTTTGGTTAAACTGCTGTACTAATTTAAAAGTGCAGACTAATCATAACCATTGCCACTCTGCACTGCACGATTGATATGTTCTAGGAACTTTACTCACACTGTTGCATTTAAATCATAGCATGACCTCTGGGCATATCTAATGTGGCCATTTCACAAGTGAAAAAACTCAGAAAGTTAAGTGGCTTGCTTGGGCTACCTGGACACTGATTAGCAGCAGAGCAGGGCTTCAGGTCCATATCTGTGTTTACTCAAACCAAAGCCCTTCCACTCTGCTAAGCTGCTCCTGGTGTCACCTGGTCTGGGAGCATTACCAACCCACATCTCCTATCTCGTCATTGTCTCCCATGTATAGTGCAC